ATGCAGAGGGCCCAGCACATCGGCAAAGTCGTCATACAAATACCGAGCGCCCTCCGCCGCCCGATGGCAGGCACGGCAAACGAGGCATATGGGACTGCCGACCAGACCACAGATATCGACGGATGCTACGTCATCACGGGCGGCTTCGGGGGGCTCGGGCTCCTCGTGGCCGACTGGCTGGTGGAGGAGGGAGCCAAACACATCGCTCTTGTGTCGAGGCGCGGCAGGCCGACCGATGCGGTGGCTGCCTCTGAGCTGTGGAAGAAGCTGACGGCACCCGAGCCTCAGGGCCGCTCCAAAGCCGCCGTCCACTGCATGGCCGTGGACGTGTCCAGGAAGGACGAGTGCGAGAAGCTGTTTGCTGACCTCAAGAAGACCCTGCCCCCAGTGAGGGGCATCTTTCACGCAGCTGCGGTGCTTGACGACGCTGCACTCAACAACCAGACCAAAGACAAGGTTGACAAGGTCTACTTGCCAAAGGTGAGTGAGCCCCTCAAGCTTGCTTCTACTCTCACTCATTCATTCACTGAGTCAGTCAGTCAGTCAGTCAGTCACTTGGGTTGTGAGGCAGCCAGCCAGGCCGTGACTGCTGCCCTCGCCCTTCCTCTTACTCACTCGCATCGCCAGTCACTCACACACTCTATCACTTTTTGCTTGCGCCAATCAGGCAGTCAGGCAGTCAGTCAGTCAGGCACTCACGAATTCCGTCGCTCTCTCACTCACTCAGACAGTCACTTCACTTTTGAGCCAGCCACTCCCCTCACGAGAAGTAGTACTCATCCATCGCTTCTGCCTCTTGTGTGTGTGCAGGTGATGGGTGCCTGGTACCTCCACGAGCTGTCGCTCGACGAGGAGACCCCTCTAGACCACTTCATGATGTTCTCTTCCGTCGCCCCACTACTCGGCAACTTTGGTCAGGCCAACTACTCGGCGGCCAACTCATGCCTGGACGCCCTCACCGAGTACCGGCGATCCAAGAAGCTCGCGGCGCAGAGCATTCAGTGGGGCCCGTGGATCCAGCAGGGCATGGCGGTCGAACTCAAGCAGCA